TAACTTTTCCTCGACATTCTAATTTATTGAGATGCACCTGTATATGAGGGATGCGGGATATATGTCACTCCTGAAACTTTGCTTACAGAGTATGTGGCTGTTGGTCCTGTTATCAGCACCTAAAACAACTTTTATTTAAATTCTGAATCGATTATAGCCTGCCTAGAAAGCGAGCAAATAGCGCTTTCATCTAACGTTAATCACTAAAAAAGCTGTCACTCACTTCAATTTATCGCAATCTCACGATTCCGTGAACTGCAAACAATATCTTATTTACATCGTGTGTGTGACGTTTAGCATTCAGTGAATTCTGACAGTGTCACCCTGTATCTATTTATATATTTCTTTATTAATATTTTAATACCGGTATATTATTATCTTATATTAACCAGTTGCACACACGAGCATTATCCGGCTTCGCTCCTCCCGACCGCAGACGCAGGTTTACAAACCACTTTTTCCAGCATTTTTCAGTCAGTTTCTTGAATTTTCCCCCCTTATGAGCAACACATTTTTGTACATGATAAAAGCTCCTTGTGGTTTCTCGGTTTGTCCGATTTGAGCATCCATAAACAATGCAAAACACTGGCATTTTGAGTTTCTGCTAGTGATTTCTATGGAGAAAAATCACTTCCTGCCCTCCAGCTGCATTTCGCGCGTCATCAGAATCACGTGATTGCAAACAACCTATTAGTCGGTAGCCTATATAATACAGCATGTGATATATGCCATGCCTCATCTTATTTGTTTTTGTTAATAAACGCTTTGTAAGCTAGTTTGTCATTGTATCTTACTGTTTTATTGTTGTTGTGCTTTTTAATTAAGAATAACAAAGAATCCATTTTTTGTTTTAATCTTAAAAAGTGAAAGGTGTATAGATGTATGTAAGCAAATCAGACAATTATTTTTTCTTGTAAAACGTGACAAGATCAGGAATTCGAAAGTGAAAGCACTGGCTTATAACATAGCAAAAGAGGATCTCCCGATCACAAAAAAAGTTAGAAAGTTAGTCGCAAAAGAGCGACCAGTGGAAAGAATGAGTCTGGAGCCCTGATGTTACAGTTATGAAAACATTTTTATAAATTGCTGACAGTACAATACTGGACAATGATGTAATCTGCCGAATTTACCCTTCAATTATGAGACTATGGTATAAATAAATTCAACTGTATTTCACTGCAATTCATGTTATAATGTTAGAATTAAAGAACAATAAACATAATACATATTACCGTTGCACTTATCTGTACATAGTAAATGCAGTTATTTTTTAAGCGGTGTTGACATCGTATCTAAAACGTGATTTAGCCACACAAAAAAAACAACAATAACGTTACAACTCTAATGTGTCTTGCAATATCCGTGCATGCAAAGGTTCTGCGCGATCCTCTTGTTCAATATTCTCGAATATATATATATATATATATTCTCCCTATATAGATATAAAATATAATTGATATATATATATATATATATAAATATATCTCACTAAAGTGCTACATAGTCTAACCTAACTATTTTTTTCTGCACTGTGTGAATTTAAATGACATTAAATTATCCATAACAGGCTTTCATATGTGGCATGTTATAAGCCAATGTTATTTTTATACTTTGTTTGTTTGTGTATCTAGATATACTAGGTAGTATGTCACATGACTCTCATAGTCATACTAACCCCGATAATCGTCTTGTTGTTCTACCATTCCTGTAATCGTCTCAGCCAAGCAACCTGGCATATTGTGTTCTGCATATCTCACACAAAGCCTGACTCCTTTTCCACACTTTTCCAAGCTTTTGACAGCTTTGTCTGCAATAACAGGTGTCTCCTTATTCTACCACATGCATCCCTGATTCCTCACTACTGAAGGCACAAAAAAGCGAATTTTTTTCTCCACAGCTCAAATCAGGCAGATGTTGGCTCAGTTTTGGTTTTCAGGGCCTCCCTTTTCAGTTTCATCCCTCTCCCGCCTGTTTTCCACCCTCCCACCACCCTCCGGAGCGCGGTATCGACGAGGAGCCGCGACAGGAGAATCAGAGAGGGCCATCTGATCTAACTGACAGGTCCCTGGCAGATGTTTGCAGCTTTGTTGACATTTTTCAGCAAGCCCACTGAGCATCTACGGCACGTCCTCCTCTTACAAGCCTAAAGCCGAGTTACTCTGAGGAATACGCGGACCTCACTTTCATTCATTTATATGGGTTATTTATTTACAGATCTTTGTAACAGCCGTTTCAACTATTTGTGTCCTAAAAATCACATTTCCGCTTATATAATTTTATTTCTGACATGACGTACCTCGCATTTGTGTTGAAAAATCACGGCGGTGAATGCCAAGTCAGTACTTAATTAAATCAGACAGATGATTTCATGCATCAAGATTAAACTTAGGCTGGGAATTGCTCCAAGCTCTTTTAATACAGAATTTCCTTTCTTTCCCTTCCACAGAGATTGCAAATTGCAAGTGGACAGGTATCTCCGACCTCCTTAATCCCACCGAGCCGTCCCCCCGTGTCACCTGGGCTCCATCGCCAAATTGGTTTGAACTCCTCCGATTTTACAGCGCACGTCCAGATGTCAGTAAGGCTGTGAGATCTGTCGAGGAGCTGTCAGGGCGAGTTTAGGCCCCTGCCCTTGCTCTGGACATGGCCCTTACAGGTCTCGGATCGGAGCGGAGTAAGAGGGGACTCGTGCTCCCCGCTCTCCTCGACCTGTCAGCCATGTTTAGCACCTCTGCGTGTGACAGAGTTAAGATGGAGAGAACCACTTTCAACTCTTCCCACTAGATCAGTCAGGGAAGGGGTGAGGGTCAAATGCAAGCGTTTAGAAATGCATGCATGTTGATTCATTTTTCAAAAGTTTGGGGTTGGAAAGATGTTTCTGAAAGAAGTCTCTTATGCTCACCAAGGCTGCATGTATTTGATCAATAATACAGTTAAAAGTGTAATATTGTGAAATATTATTACAATGATTGATTAATTTAATGCATCCTTGCTGAGTAAAGGTATTAGTTTCTTTCAAAAAATAATTTGACATTAAACATTTAAACAGTAGCGTAGATAAAAAATACTTTCTTTTCAGCCTAAATATGGTCTCAAAAAGGAATATTACATGCCAAAAACACATCTTTTCATCATTTATTCTTGCTGATTTATAATTTATTAATTCATTTTTTACTATGATTTATACTTCTATAAAATGAATATCAAGCAATAATTCACAAAATATCTTCCTGTCTGCCAGAGCTCTCACATCATGTTTAAAAAATATAAATAACATATTTTAAAATTGTAATTAACAATATTACATTAGTCACATCACGCCAAGTTTGCCATCAAAACAACATTGTTTTTTGTTTGTCATGTGACCAGTTGTGCAAAATAAGCTTTACATACAGTAAGAAAGAACACGATACAAGGTTGGAACGACTTTGCGGTGAAGTAAATGATCCCAAAAGTTTCATTTTGTGGTTTTGTTTCCCTTTTCTATGATTTTACGGTTGTGTAGAGCTGTCAGTAGAGCTGTCATCGCCGTCTTTATTGTATGTGTATGTTCTCCACAAAACCATCAAGTGTTCGGCCAGGTCAAGGAGCTTCTGTTAACACTTTTCAAACAGCATGTCCCAAGCCCTAATCTATTCTCCTGCTGTAATTTATATTTTAAAACCTGCCCTTATTTTTTTATTTCACTAAGCCAACACATTTTTATCTTTCGCACAGCAGTTTGACAGCCACTGACAAGTGAAGTGAAAAACCCTCTCATGCAACCTGCCCTCACGAAACCTGGGAAGGTGAAATCAATACGGTTTGTATTTTAAAAAGGCACTGATACGTGAGTATGACTCAAAATTACTACCGCAGACTGACATGCAGAAGTTATGAAGATAAAAAGTGACTCAAAACAAGGACAAAAGACGATTTGGTGACGGCAATTGATATAGACACTGACATGCTGAAAGTTCAGCGCAAATGGTAATTGACAAGTGTATCAGAAATACAATGGAAAAAAAAAAAAAAGAGTGCGAAGCAACGAAATGGCATTTCTGGTGAAATGGTGCTGGTGAAGGTTGACTGAACTTCAGGATTCAGGTGACCCATTCACACTTGCTCTCCTTCCCCCCCTCCTCTCTCTCTCTTTTTCACAGTTCTTTTTTCTTCTCCATTACTCGGACGCTGAATGATGGTGATTTGGTTGAGGCCCAGTGAGTGTCTGAGGAAAATTGGTTGGTTGATAAAAACGATGCTATCAAAGAGGGCTACTTTCTCATTTACATTTAGATGAGTATTGATTATTTATTTACTCAGTGGAGTGGGATTCTTTTCCAATCTTATCTCTCTCTCGTCTTGTGCTTGTCACCTGGTAGAGGGGGGGGAAAGAAAGTGTACGAGAGATAGAGTTCTTGACACCACTCGAGGAGAACAGCATTTTGCTGCACAGATAAAAGTTAGAAGGGTGCTCTCCCTTTGTCTCCTTTTTCTCTCCACTCGTTTCTCTTCTTCCACACCAATTTTGACAGAAGAAGAAAGTTTGCAGAATTAAAACGGATTGCCCTGGATGAAAGGGTATAGGTGACAAGCTCTCAATTTGCTGCGGTAAAGAGTGCAACTTGACATACAGTAATGGCTGGAGGATTTCAGCGAGCAGTGTGGTATATTGGTGTAACATAATTTTACATTTTTTGGGGTCAATATATTGGCATATGTATTTGACTGAATGTCAAACTTGTAGCGTATATAATTTTTTAGTGACCACTGAGTCTCATTTTTTCCTTCAGACAGGTACTTGTGGCAATGCTTAATTCAACAAATTTTGAATTAATAATTATGCCTGATATGTGTACTGTAGGGGAGACTGGGGAAAGATGTCACATGATTTTTTGCCCAAGTAAATATTTCTCAGGGTCGGTTTATTTTTAAAGTTACATACAGTACCTTAAAGTATTGGCTACAAAAAGCTATTGGACATTCAGACATTATTGCCCCTCAAGGAAGGAAGGAAGGAAGGAAGGAAGAAACAGAAAGAAACAAAGAAACAAATTTTTTTTTAATTGAACAATATTGTGCTGTTGTGACAACATGCCCCAATAGTGTAAGCAATGGAACATTCTTTTAAAGGCTTTACAGCCAATAAATAAATAAAAAAAACGTCAAACCATATATATAAATTGAATAATCATCAAAGAAGAAAAACTATATCACTGTATCATGGTTTCCACAAAAATATTAAGCAGCAAAAAGAAAAATTAACACTGAAATGTTCAAATCAGCATATTAGAATGATTTCTGAAGGATCATGTGACACTGAAGACTGGAGTAATGATGCTGAAAATTCAGCTTTGCCACCACAGGTATACATTTTTAAATATTTACAATAGAAAATTATTTTAAATAATATTTCACAACAGTACTGTTTTAACAGTAAAATAAATTTAGCCTTGATGAGCATAAGAGGCTTCTTGCATAAACAATTAAATATCTAGTCAACCGCAAAGTCTTCTAAATGGTAGTTTATATATAAACGCTATGTGTAAATATTTTAGCATGGCGGACAATTGGCCCAAAAAACTCATAGTTACTGAAATACATCTCATGTGACAACTTGCCCCGGTCTCCCCTATACTTGTAAGACACATTGGATATTGCTGACTGTACTGTACCTGTACGTTTCCTCATTGTATGGATGGCATGTGAAGTGACTGGGTGCAGTGGAGACAGCAGCAGGATGGGGGTACATAGCTCTCTGCAGTGCTAGAGGACCCCTGACAGACCCTGCCTCTTCCTCTCAGCGCTGTGATGGAGAGTGAGCCGTCTCCTGAGGTGGCCTCTGTCAGCTCCGCTTTGCTTCAAAAGGAAGATAGGTAGCACAGCCGCTGCGGCCTGCATCAGCCACCCATCTCCCTGCCCTCACCCCGTGGGCGACGCTAGGCATGGGATATCCCTGCAAACACATGGAAGCCGGACCTAGATGGTGTCACAGGAAAGAGGTTCATTAGCATAATGTTCTTAGTCTTACGTAAAATACATGCAGTCATTTAATACACAGATTAATTTCCTCTAAATATAGTTAATCTTCCATCTGAATCAACATCTGTTCATTTATAAGGATGAAGTGGACCAAAAATAAGTGAGTTTAGGTTCAGGTGATTGATTGGCTGGGTGTGACCTCACAATAATTCTGACAGCTCACCTCATGAATATTAATTAGGTGATGCACAAATAATTTAGCATTATCTTTTACAATTTATAGTGAACAGATAACCTGGTGACACATTTAATTAGATAATTTAATGTCAAACATAACCTGATAACAATCACAGCAAACATGCAGCATTAAAAATAAACTCCAGCTGCACATTGTTATATATAGCTTCATCACTGCCACACATTTCATAAAGCTTTTTTTTTTCTTTTGCGCACAAAAAATATTCTCGTAGCTTCGTAAAATTACAGTTGAACCCCTGATGTCACATGGACTATTTTGCCGATCTCCTTGCTATGTTTCTGAGTGTTGATCGGAGGGTCAGAGAGCTTTCAGATTTCATCAAAAATATCTTAATTTGTGTTCCGAAGATGAATGAAGGTCTTCCAGGTTTGGAACAACATGAGGGTGAGTAATTAATGACAGAATTCTCATTTTTGGGTGAACTATCCCTTTAACTTAATATATTTAACATAATACAGTGGCTATACTTTCGAATGCAAGAACAGTTTTATAGCAATATATATTCAATATATATATACAGTGGTGTGAAAAAGCGTTGGCCCCCTTCCTGATTTCTTATTTTTTTGCATGTTTGCATGTCACACTTTAATGTTTCAGATCATCAAAAAATTTAAATATTAGTCAAAGATAACACAAGTAAACACAACATGCAGTTTTTAAATGAAGGTTTTTATTATTAAGGGAAAACAAAACCCAAAACTACATGGCCCTGTGTGAAGAAGTGTTTGCCCCCCTGTTAAAACTGTGGTTTATCACACCTGAGTTCAATTTCTCTAGCCACACCCAGGCCTGATTACTGCCACACCTGTTCGCAATCAAGAAATCTCTTAAATAGGAACTGCCTGACAAAGTGAAGTAGACGACGAGGGCGGTTGGCGACACTAGGATGTGACTGGAGCAGAGATGGAAGGAAGTGACGTAGGATCAGGAAGTGAGCTGGACATAGAGGATGAATGTATTGGCGGGGAGAAAGGAGGTAAAAATGGAAATTGGAACATAGTAGAAAATCGGAAAAGGAAAAAAAAATGGAATCAACTTTCTGGTTCGGAAAGTGAAAGGGAAAGACAACAGGAGAAAAGGAAAAAGGAAGAGTTTAAGGTAATGATACATTTCTTGTCCGATAATATGAATGCATTGAACCCACTGAAAATAACTAAAGCGATCAAAGAAGAGATCGGGAAAATCGAACATGCGAAAATGTTACGGAATGGAAAGTTGCTACTTTTTTGTAAAGATAGCAGACAACAAAAACAGGTACTAGGCTTAAAGACATTAGCAGGGAAAAAAATTTCGTGTACACTGTTGGAAGAGAAGAAATGGATGAAGGGAGTAATAACAGGGGTCCCAACAGATGTATCAGAAGACACAATCAAGAGAAGTTTATCAGGAGCAAAAGTGGTAGGGGTCAAACGTCTGAAATATGTTAGAGATAAAGAAAAGCTGGATAGCTTATCTGTAATGGTGCAGTTTGATGAGGAAAGATTACCAGAAAGAGTATTCTTTGGGTTTATAAGCTATGCTGTTAGACAGTATGTTCCTCCTCCGCTTAGATGCTATATGTGTGTGTGTATAATATATATATATATATACAGTATATATAAAATACACCTTGCTAAGTGTACTGCGTTAGGCTAACCGAGACTTGTCATTTGCACTTATATATTGTTGCTCTTTTGTTAATTTTGACTGCTTTTATTGTCCTCATTTGTAAGTCGCTTTGGATAAAAGCGTCTGCTAAATGATTAAATGTAAATGTAAATAGCAATCCTGAAAACACACATTATTAAGCATCACAACCATTTTCAATAATAATAACAATAATAATTTTCTTCAGCACCAAATCAGCATATTAGAATGCTGCTGAAAATTCAGCTTTGCCATCACTAAAATAAATTACATTTTAGAATATTTTAAATGTAATAGTTATTTAAAATTGTCATTTTTTCCACAGTATTTCTGTTTGACGGTATTTTTGATCAAATAAATGCAGCATTGGTGAACACTAGACTGTTCTTTCAAAATTTCAAAGTTCTTTCTAATCACCACTCATCATAAGAATAAGAAAATATGATCGATTAAAATCTTAAAATGGGTCACTGATGTCAATAACAGGTGAGCTATGCATATTGCTTGACTTCCTAAATGGCATGTTGGAATGTTCTTTCTTTCTTTCAGTTGTAACTCAGTTACAAATGACTTCTTTAAACAGATTACAATGAGTCAAAATCAGGGCTAGACAAATAAGTGTTGTCCAATACTTACCACATCACCACTAAAACAAACATCTGTCTGACTTACCAGACCTAAATGTCACTAAATGGATGTAAAGATGCATTTGGCAAAGCGCTCAGGGTGATTAACTCTGTGGGCCTAAAATGGGCACTGACTACCAGAGACTTCCATCACTGCTCAAGAATGGGCATCCATTTTTCTTTGTTAGTCAGTCAGTCATTAGCCTAGTTACACATCTGGATCCCAACAGCACTTTAAGAATATGGACTGCTCTGACGAGGAGGGGAAAAAAAGCTAATTAGCCAAACTGGAGAGGAACATCTTGTTTTCCTAGCCCCCTAATGGATTAGACCAAGGTCTTTTGAAATGCAAACTTATCAAGGAGACACAGTTAGAGGATCTGTCCCCTTTGGAGTTGCAAGTCCCTGTCTACCGTCTGTCCTCTGAGTTAATGAGTAAACATTAGGATTGGCTTTACTCTATCACTTGCTACACAGCTAAACCAGAGTAAAGGGTAACTGTGTTAAGATTCTGTGTTCGATTTAACCGCTCAGTCTCGAAGCCAAAATGTATTTAGTTTCACCTTATAACTGTCTGTCTTTACCGCTGTTTTTGAAAAGAGGTGCTTTCAATGCGCTTTGTTGAAAATGCCCTTGGGGGCCGAGGCCTTTTCTCTGTTAGTGCCAAAGATGGCAAAGGCTCTCCTGACATTTTGGGAACCGTTTCTAAAAGGGTAAACATTGCCCTGAGTTTTTGCCCTTCGTTGGATGACAACTTTATTATATATTTCAAACATCTCTCCATCAATGTTATCAAAATGAAATTCTCCTTATGAATCCAGCTAACAAAAATAAGAATGTTTAGCTAACATTCCCATTAAGTTGTAAAAAATATTTCTGAATATTCTGTGGATGTTCAAAAGGTTCTTTTTTTTTTATGTTGTTTCTTGGTTATGTGAACGTTAAGGGAACATTCCAATTTCTAATTTTTCAGACATTATGGAAACATTACTTTTGAATGTTCTCTGAACATTTTGAAACAAGAAACATTTAAAATAATGAACATCCAACTAAATCGTAAAAAAAAATCCATGAACAATGTATAAATAATGTTTTTGTGCTTAGATTTTCAGAACGTTATTAAAGATCAGACCATTTTAAACAAACATTCTATTATTTTACTGAAAGAATGCTTGTTCATAACTTTGATAGAACCTTGCAGGAACGTTCTGAGAATGTTCCATGTTAGCTAGGGTATCACTATATGTATTTTTATTCTTCCCTTTCAGATCTCTTAACTTCAAATTGAGAGATCTGGTTGTGATAGAAAACTACATCTAATTCATTTCTGAATGCACTTGCAATCTTTTCTGTCGTAGTCTAAAGCAAAAACAAAAACAGCATGAAAGGGAATAATCTGATCTTTTTTTTCCCTTATTATATAAGTTTCATTTCATTTCAATGCATCTCTTCCTGGAGACTACTACATATCTAGGTATCTCTTAGATAGAGGTCACCTGTCCGACACGAGAAGAAGAAAAAAAGAGTTCCCTGCTAGTGTTGGGCTGTGCGGAAAGGACTGTGAATCTAATTGGACTTCAGTTAGGGCTTTCTAAATCCAGCTCTTTGGCATGACCTTGGAATAATGGCAGCACTAGAAGAATAGAGAGGCAGAGGGGTTCATAAACAGCTGAATCTGGTCTTTTGTGTGGGCTGATCTGCAGAGGAAAGACAGACAGGGCTGGGATTGCTCGCCAGACGGGAGAGCTGGGTTCACTATGCCCTTTGTCATGAAAAGTGTGGCATGACCTCAGGAGTTGTGTGCACACAAACACACACACACACACACACACACACACACACAGGAATAGAGCTTTTCGTTTGTTTGTTTGTTTTTTTCTAAAATCACAATACATCAAATATTCTTCATGAAAAATAAAGGTTTTTAGCTGCTGAGCTAACAGCACAGAAGATAGATAGATAGATAGATAGATAGATAGATAGATAGATTTAAGGTTTATATAACCTTATACCCTAAGGTTTATAGTTGTTCATCCACAGACTATATTAAACAAAAATGTATTTAAATAAACAGATATAAATAAATTTGACTGTTATTGGTTTCCTGTTCTGCTGTATGAAAATGTACTTAATATATTAAATCTTCTTAAAGTTAAATATATTTTTTATAATAAAAAATATTTATTTAAGATAAATAATTTAAAAAACAGGGTCTTTGTATTCAATAAAATACAAGTGTATTTGCGAGAACATTTAGGGCCCCTCCCCTTGCCGTCCCCTGGTGCAGTTGTTGTGTGGAACGGTGAGCCTAGCGGGGTGTAAACAAACACAGTCTCCCTCAATGTCCTGACAAGGTAGAACCCCGGCCTGCTCTTGACCCCACATTAAATCCTCATTATGCCTAATGCAATCTGAGCCCAGCTCCTGTGACACAAAAGAAAAATCAATTAACATGATTAGTGGCACAAACACCGAGACTTATTGGCCCATCAAATCTAAATTTGCTCTGTGTCATTCTATTGTTTAATTTTTGCATTCACTTATTTATAAGAAAGACATAAAGAGTTGTCTTTATGTTGTCGGTCACATGTTTTCATTGTTTTCCTTGTCCAGCTGGGTTTTTTTTGGCGCGCATTATCAATACATTAAAACTCATGGAGCACATCTGTACATGACATGCAGGACTAATACATCACTGCACATCTAAAGATATAAAGCCCCTGTTGCAGTGGCTGGCTGATTCATGGCGTGGAGTCCTCATTAAGTGTTGGTTGTGTTTTCTACCAGGTTTGATTCGGTTTTTAATTAATTTTCCGAGATGGCTCTCGGAGCTCCGTTGTCATATTAAAGTCCTGTGAGCTCTAGACCTGTCAGAGGGGAAGAAACGGTTATGGCTCATCCTGAGATTAATATCTCATCACTGGTGATGTATTACCTTGATAAGCTGCAGCACGAGGTTCACTAATCAACATTTTAAAAATATTATGCATTTCCGCAGTTTGCTCCTGTATGATAGATGAACATTTGAGTGGACAGTGAACAGTCAACAAGCTGCAGTACCTGCACTACATCTCCAGGATTCAATTATTGCCAGTTGTTTTTTTTTTCTTCAAAATTGTATATATTTTTCCAGCAAATATGGGGAAATATCTCATTTATCATTCTGAGGGATCAAAATATTTTGTCATTTGTGCAAAAAAGATGTCTGCAAATGTTTGTCTCATATTTTAACTGCATGAAGTATGTTTTTGGTTGATTTTCCTGATGGGGAAACTAGTTATGTACAGATATAAAACTGTGAATATGTTTATCCAATTAAGTATTTTTCTAAATTATAATTAGGAATAATTTCTGATGGAGTATACTGCAGCAAAACAAGTTTTTTGGGTAACTTTCCATCAGTGTTGGGTAAGTTAAAAAGTAATTACTAGCTAATAATTACATCTTCAGCAATGTAATTAGATTACTAATTACTCTCTCTAAAATACATTGCATTGCTTACTTTCTAAATTCGATATCAACCTCGACCAGTTGAACAATGCAAGCACAGACATGAAACTTCTCTTTTAATTCTTTCTAATAAATAATATAAAATTGCATAAATTGTTGAACTGAGCAAAGTATATGAAGGGACAATGTTACATTAAAAACATAGATTTTTACCTTATACATTAAATTTTGATGTTAAATTCACTATTGGTTTATACAGAATTGTTCTATAGTCTATAATGCAATTACATTAGAAGTAACTGTAATGAAATTACAGAAAAATTAATAGTAACCCCTACTTTACTTTTTTTAAAGGAAAAACGTAATTAAATAACAGTAATTAATTACTTGGTAATGCATTACACTCAACATTGCTTTCCATTACAAAATCTAAATTAAATGACATTAAATCCTTAAAATAAGACATATACATTTTTTTTCTTTAAACATAACACCTCACTAAATGGTAGAAGATTAAAAAAATGCCAATGTGATCAGAAATATAAACTTCAAAATATATTCCCCTAAAATTGTTTCTCTAGTATTTTTATCCGCATTTAAATGGATATTTTTTACTGGAAAACAAGTCAAGAGGCACTGAATGTCTAACCAGCAGGGTAAGTGTTAGTGTGTATATGCATGCGATATTAGCTCCCAGTGAAGTTTGACTTGGTGTATCTGGAAGCTGTCAGATGAGAAAGCTCTAAAAGGTCGGGACAGATCAGAGAAGATAAATGCTGAGTGGGGAGGACAGCTGTTTTGGAGAAGGGGAACACCAGTGTCTCTCAATACTGGGGCAAAGGATCATC